TAGCTTTATATGTTACTGACCTGTCCAGAATTAGGTTGTATAGCTTTATATCTTACTGACCTGTCCAGAATTAGGTTGCATAGCTTTATATCTTACTGACCTGTCTAGAATTAGGTTATATAGCTTTATATCTTACTGACCTGTCCAGAATTAGGTTATATAGCTTTATATCTTACTGACCTGTCCAGAATTAGGTTATATAGCTTTATGTCTTACTGACCTGTCCAGAATTAGGTTATATAGCTTTATATCTTACTGACCTGTCTAGAATTAGGTTATATAGCTTTATATCTTACTGACCTGTCCAGAATTAGGTTGCATAGCTTTATATCTTACTGACCTGTCCAGAATTAGGTTGTATAGCTTTATATCTTACTGACCTGTCCAGAATTAGGTTGCATAGCTTTATATCTTACTGACCTGTCCAGAATTAGGTTGCATAGCTTTATATCTTACTGACCTGTCTAGAATTAGGTTATATAGCTTTATATCTTACTGACCTGTCCAGAATTAGGTTATATAGCTTTATATCTTACTGACCTGTCCAGAATTAGGTTATATAGCTTTATGTCTTACTGACCTGTCCAGAATTAGGTTATATAGCTTTATATCTTACTGACCTGTCTAGAATTAGGTTATATAGCTTTATATCTTACTGACCTGTCCAGAATTAGGTTGCATAGCTTTATATCTTACTGACCTGTCTAGAATTAGGTTGTATAGCTTTATATCTTACTGACCTGTCCAGAATTAGGTTAAATAGCTTTATATCTTACTGACCTGTCTTGAATTAGGTTGTATGGCTTTATATCTTACTGACCTGTCCAGAATTAGGTTGTATAGCTTTATATCTTACTGACCTGTCCAGAATTAGGTTGTATAGCTTTATATCTTACTGACCTGTCCAGAATTAGGTTGTATAGCTTTATATCTTACTGACCTGTCCAGAATTAGGTTGTATAGCTTTATATCTTACTGACCTGTCCAGAATTAGGTTGTATAGCTTTATATCTTACTGACCTGTCCAGAATTAGGTTGTATAGCTTTATATCTTACTGACCTGTCCAGAATTAGGTTGTATAGCTTTAGCTAATGTATCAAAAGCTCTAGCTACTGTATCTGCTGTAGTTTCTGTTGATGTCTGCTCTGATGGTAGTACAGTGATACCACTTTCCCCTAAATTATTTAGTCCTAATACATTGGGGTCACCTTCCTTCTGTTCCATAGTGGCTAATGTTGTCACTACACTAGCTAAGGTACTCAGATCTATATACCAAAAAAAAATATTTGAAATCAGTGCTTGTCAATTTTGGATCAAATATTCTTCTTGAAATTAAGTAAATTGAAAGTTAACAACTCTTTTGAAATCAGAAGCAATGATTTCCATTAAAACTTCTAATTTTGAAGTTCAAAACAAGATTATGTTGGAATTTGTCAAATTATAACATTTCAAGATAAAAATAGTTATGTAAAAATAGGTAATATACGCCCACTGGCAGCTTTGATTTTAAATAAAAATATTTAGCAATACAGTAACAATCACCAAAT